TTGTACGCGCGTGCTCTACTAGCTGAGCTACGAGGTCACACCGATAGCACTGATCTTTTCACATTCGAATTTACCCATCCAACTTACAGAGGCATGTGGCATCCATCAGTTAGCATTGTTGGTAAGCAGTCTAAAAGCAAACCGGTGCAAAATAATCAATAACAGGTGTTAAACAATGCGGGTCGGTGCACAATCAGTCGGATATGCGGCTCTTCAGGTCTAGTCACGTCCGGGTGCCCACTGCTCTCCGTCTCCCAATGAAAACCGATGGCCGTAACCTAGATATTCCGTAACCAGTACCTCTTTCTACATAGTAGTAAGCACTCTTATTTGGTAGTTATCGATATGTATAGTCCATTGAAATCTATAGAACCACACACAATCGGTCATATTGTCAGTTTGCCTTTTCATCATGCTAAGCGAATCATATCATCATGACTAATGATAACTTTGTTTTCTTGTTCTAAATTATTCAGAGATAAAGTCAAAGAATTCACGGATCTGTTACACCAGCACCAAATACCACTCCTTATTTTCTCGGCTGGTTTGGGTGACGTTATTCAACTATTGTTGCAACGCTTCACCATGTGTACAGACAATGTACGCGTCGTGTCCAACTTTATGATTTTTAACGATGAGGTGAGCAGTTCAAATACTATTTCGATGATATCGTATGACATTTGACGATATCATTTTTAAAGTTAAAAACCCGTATTTGACATCGATGAGCTTGGTTTTGTTTGCATCAAAAATTAAATAATAGATGAGAGATAAGAATGTAAGCGTCGATCACTTGTCAGGAAAGAAGACTGTTTAAGGGATTAAAGCCGTGTGAAATAAATTGCTTCGCTATTAGTTCTTCCTTTGCTCGTACGTGTTAGGAAGGTGTTCTAGATGATCAGTACTCTATACCAACTAACAATATATGTGGTGCAATAATTCCGTCTTCCTTTTGTTGCATTCTCGCCCCCCTCCCGAAGGATGTTCTGGTGGGTTTTGAGGAACCAGTTATTCATACATTCAATAAATCAGCATCCAGCATACCTGCACTAATTTCCGCGGGTTCACAGGCCACACCCAGGCGAACTTCTGTCTTGTTGTTGGGTGATTCGACTGGGGATGTGCATATGGCTGATGGAGCAACTGTGGACGATCCGGAGGGCCTTTGTGGAATTGTGTTGCGAATCGGTTTCCTAAATGATCAGGTTAGTTAACCCCTTAAGTCACGTGTCACCTACTTTATTATTCATCGTATACTATCTGTAGGTCAGGTATATCGATTCTGTCGCTTGTAAAGAATGATTAAAAAAATAACATGAGGTTTATTCCCGTGGCTGTCTGTAGCAGCAGTTTTCATGATCCGTTGGGATAGCTAGCTAAATCCTGTTATTGTTTATGCCACGCATGTGCAACAGGAATGAATGTATAAAAAATCACTCCCAAGTACCCACCTGGCAATTTGCCCATTTTTGCTTCATATGGTAGCACTTGATTCTCGTCGCGTGTACCAACTATCTGCCAACTTTTATTTGTGTGCGATGCATTTCCACGACTCGGTCTGTGTACTCCAAATTGGATGCACCGAAGGACTAGTTGTACGATCAGCCGCACTCATCGGTTGTTGTCCAAGCTCCGAGTTGATTGTCCAGAGAAAGTGTTTTTAACGTGCTCATTGTATCACTCGGCGCACCAGAAGCCTGTCTACGGGGAATTTGTGCCACTCCTTTAATATGAGCAGATTATTACGATCGGCTACACCAATTCTACACCGACCACTGGTTATTTCTGTCTAGTACCAACTCCCGACACAGCTCTCGATGGCGATGAAGAAAGGTCTGGGGTGGAAGAGTCAACCGAATTCGCGCGCAGCGCCAAAGGTAAGTTGATAAATATGCAGTGACCGTGAAAGTGAAGAAGGATAGTCCTAATAGGTTGTATGGATCTGTGGCACGGAAAACGTTGAAGTCTAAATGGAGCGAGAGTGAGATTGGTGCACATTTGAGAGAACTGGGCATAAGGGAGGTTTCACTAATATTAAGGAGAATATGATTGCGATAGTTGCAAACGGAAATGTGACCAAGATCAGAACTTGGGTAGATACTGAGGTAAGAACAGTCATTGCCAGTGCAGGAGTTGACGGTGCGTGAGGAGTAATAGGTTGACGAATGGTGTATGCTCGTGTCATCGGTAAAGACATGACTAAGATTTGAAATCGAAGGAAGGCCATTCATTGATGAATATCGGAAAAGTGATGGGGAAATTACGGAACCTTGGTTGACACCGGCCTTTATAGGCACAGAATGAGATATGGTCTGATCTTCTCGGATGAATATACTGTGGTTCTGGATATAACTTACTGTTCAGGACACAAGTTCCGAAAGAAAGCCAAACTTGGGTAGTTTAGCCAGCAGACCTGCGTGCCAGACACGATCGAAAGCT